GAGGGGGGGGGGGGGGGGGGGGGGGTCTGAAAGTAAATATATTAAATTCATATTTTCAGCAGTTTACTTAAAAACATTTTATATATATATATATATATATATATATATATATATTTACTGTCAAAAACCATTTTTCTTCAATTTTTTTGTTCCATATTTCATATATACAATAGCGTAATTAATTTATTTTATTAGGGAAAAGGATAAATTGCACTAAGCAAACCGCTATTGTAAAATATCTGCATTGTTCAGCTGTTGTGAGGTCACTGATGTGTGAAAGGGTTTCCTGTGGTTGTGAGTTGTAATTAGAGGTTACTATATTCCTGTGTTGTAATTACAGTCTCAAGTTAAATACTCTCAACAGATCTCAGGTTGCTGCCACTTTATAGCTTCAATTTTAATACGTAAGCAGTCTGCCTGGCTTGCAGTGCCTCGACAATAAGACTAGCCGAAACGGTTTGTGTGGAAGTGTATGGGTGTGTGTGTTGGGACAGCGGGAAATAATTAGCTCTTTTTTTGACTCTTGAAGTGATTTACAGCTTTCCAGTGAAATGGTCAGAGTGAAGGGTTGTTCGTTGGGCTGTAAAACCACACACACACACACACAAACACACTCTGCATTACTTACTTGAGGAAAGAAACAACAGCACATATCAGAAACCGTAAATTACAACATGTCTTCAGGCCTAAATCAACAAAAACATAAATGTGACTTGCTGAAATGTTTAATATTAAATACTTGACTTGTAATTCTAAAGACTTTGGTGTGATAACTCAATCTGCTTTGGGAAGCATTACTCACAGATATCCGTGATGTTAGAAACATTTGCTTGAAATGGTTGAGTTGGCTGCCAAAACACCACTTTGCCTGAAGGAAACGTTTCTGGAATTATTAAGGTGATTATTTTAATGAAAGCAAAATAATACAGAGTAAATGGAGATCAAATCTGAGTCACACAGCAGAGAAGTGCTGCATTTGCTTTTGTCCACTTGTACTAATGTGTGTGTGCTTCTTTAGGTCTTTACAGATGTTTAGCATTTGTCACACTGATGTTAAGTGGCTCATACATAATCTGGGGTCAGAGGTGGCTTAAACGCTGCATTAGTAATGGTCATCACAAACAGACACACATGCTAATGTAAAGACACACAGACCACTCCATTTACTAAAACTTTATTTGTGAGACATTTAAAGATCAGAATATGGAAGATTAGACTCGAACCTGTACTCTGGCGAGACCGGCACTGCTCTGACAAGTTTGCACATATATTTAAGCCAGTTTAAGCTCTATTGATTTCCTCAGAACTTCTCTCCCTAGTGAAAAATAAGTATACTAAATTGTATTTGAAATGCATTTATTTCATGCCAAGTATACTACTTATGTACATAATAAAAATACACTACAGTTAGTATACTAAACTTAAAGTCTGTCAAATTGGAACAACTAATTTTGTACTTAATGTACTTTAATACACTCTAAAAACTGCTGGGTTAAAAACAACCCAATTTGGGTTATTTTGGCAACCCAGCGCTGGGTCAAAACACAACAAGTTGGGTTATTATGTTTGACCCAGCATGCTGGGTTGCTTTTTTATGGTTTAAAATTACTACACTGCTAGGCTAAAATGAACCCAAATCGAGCTAGACATTAAACCTACAAATCTTGTTCATTTTAAAATCACTTTTACACACACAGAATGTCTATCAAAAGGTAAATATTTATTTAAAACAGTCAAAGTAACATGCATGTAAGAAGAAATGCAGAAAAGTATGGCATTAACAGCTACAGAGTTTATAAATGACGCATTGAACATTTGTTGAATATAAGTTTTAAGATCAAATTTGACTTTTTTGGTAAATTTAATATATTGTATAAAAATATTATACAAAAACACTATTATACAATAGTTGTACAATTAGATAATAGTTAAGTTCTTTACAAACTATTCTGGCATGACAGTAAATAAACCACATTAACACTGATATTATAAAATTTTTCAGAAACATATGTGTGAAAGAATGTGAGCATGTGTATGAATGAGTGTAAACTCCATTTCTACTAAACAACAACACAGAACAAGCATTTAACATTTTGTTTTTACAAATTATAGACTTACAGTTTGTTTCATAGTCCATGAATACAGATCAGGCATCGCTGCCAATTTTCATGATCTCTTTAGCATAATTGATGTAGTCATGAAGCCCCATCAGCACAGCAAAGGCATGTCACATCTTTTACATCACCCAGGGCAGCCTCCTCCTTTAAAACCACTGTTGCATCAGTTTGGGGGAAAGGACATTTTCCTCTTTGACCAGTAAGGATAGGTAAATAGTCCGTTTTATAATTTCAACCACTTTGTGTGGTTGTTTAATGTCTCTGTCTACCAGGGGCTCTAGAATGCGTTAATGGCAGCACTAGTATCCTGAAGTGTATTTGATTGAGCTAGAGCGGAACTATTGCAAGTATACTTCAGCTACACTTTAAATATCTTATTTAAAGACTGATATTATTCAAAGATCATACAGTCCTCATTAATAATGACATTAAAACACATTTTAGAATTAATATTAGGGAAAGTGCATTGTGCACAAAGAGTACTCCAAATAAAGTTTTATTATAATTTTTATTTTCAGTAAGTCCCGAGCGACATGTCAGTAAATATGTTAATAGATTTGAACGATTTTGAATAGATTTGAAAGTCTCTTCTTATGTTTAAGGAGCATTATTGTATAGCCACAAGACTTAAACATTTTATGAGAACAGTGTGATTAAAATTGCTTACTGACATTGCCCTCACAAAGTTATTTCCAGTTTGACTGTAGAATTGCTGAAGTTGGACTATGTGAAAAGTCAAAACTGTTCACATAGAGATGCATTTCCCAAACTGGGGTTCGTAAATCCCTGAGGGGTTGTGAGGGAACTGCATGGGGTTTGTGAGTTGATGGAAAATTTATGATAATCATAAAAATGTAAAATGCAAAATAAAAGCCAATGAATCACTCACTAAAAATGAAGTGTTTTATTTGTTTACCTGCATAGCATGTGAACATTTACCGACTTCGTAGAACCGTGACCATGTGAATGTGTTGTGAAGTTATTCAAATTTTAGCTTTAAATCTCCAAAAATTCAAATAAAAACAATCAAAAAGAAATTCTTACTGTTAAAAAAAGCATGACATATCTCATTTGACCTGCATGTCACCATTAACCAACATCAGAGAACTGTGAATGTTTGAATATGTTTACTTTATTGAAATATTAACTTAAAATTGCACTTCAAGTAAATGTTTTGAGTCAAAGGCTGACAAAAAAAATCCACTGGTGAAAATTGCATTGGTAGTGCATAAAGTTCATCCATCTACAACTGTGGTTCCACCACTAAAAAGATTATTTAAACAACTTTGCTGCTCAAATAAGACATTTTGTGGATACATTTATGTAGGTGAATTAACTAAAATACAAGCTTTACATTTCGACTTTCATTGGACTTTGGTGAAGCCAAAATCATTTTTAATTGTATAATAATAATCCAGCATTGAATAGCCCTTAAATATATCACTATTCAGGTTAATCTGCACTTTATTACACTTATAATCAAAGCTATAGCTGAAACACATCAAATATTGCCTTTTCACCCGTGCTCCAGGGAAATTCACCAGCTTCACCTCCAGTCACCCAGCACGGCCCTTTGTAGCTCTCCTCGCTACAAGTTCTTCAGTTCTAATGAGGTTCTTTGATGAGCAAGTCACTTCTAAGCGCCAGATCTGCTGATTGATAGCCTTGCATGTTAGCCGATGACTCTGAATAGAAACGCATTATTCCCTGAAAGGCCAGGGGACCTGGCTTTAGCATATCTAGCGTAGCTGCGGCCGGGTCTGAAACCTGGGAAGCAAAGCTTGGATAAACAAAGGAGAAAAGGTGAATAATGAGAGTGCTAATAAGCAGCAGGACAGAGCATAAAGTGTTTAAGCTACTGAAAGATTTTGTCAATGGGCTTAAAATTTGGATCACTGTCAAAGATATGACAGAACTGGACTTTGGTTGGCCACCAACTACACAACGGTGGTATTCACAGCTGTGAGGGATGGTAGACATGCTTCAAGCACTGAGAGGTCCTGTTCTGTGGAAGTCATGCTAAATCAAGTCGCTAATACCCTGGAGGACACACAGACCTGTAGGTTTAGCTGCAAAGAGCTTGAGTGAGATTTCCACTGACATTTGTTTCTTGAAGAATGAAACTAGATGTTCAGGCTCGGTTGTTGATTTCAGGCTTGTGTGTTGTTTGATGGAAAATGACTTGGCTTTCACGAGAGAGACTGAGAGTACTTCTATATCTAAGTGATATCGACAGCACATGATTTTGGGATTGAACCAAAGGGACGGGGGAAGTTTGTAAGTGAGCGATGAGGAGGAAAACAGACAAAGTCAGCTTTATACCAGAGCTGCGTGATCTTGGTCTAACAAGATTAGCTCATCCTGACTCACTCAGCAACCATTTCTCTCTGAGTGCATGTCGTTGTGTCAAAATCCGTCTGTTTCTTTCCCATACAGTATCTCAAAATAGACAAGTAGCGCAAGTGGTGAGAGCATCAGAATGTGGAGAAATCCTTAACTTTATGCAAATGAGAAATGAAAAACATGTTACTATGTTTAATATAGATTTCAAATTCAGTTTCCTGTGGCTGGGTTATCAAAAGTGTAACTGGCACAGTGCATATATAATCACGTTCCATTGCATTACATTTAAAATATAGTACCTTAACGTAACTTAAACCGCAGTTGGGAGTGAGAATGTGTTGCAAATCTAAATGTACTATTGAAAAACACACTATGCTTAAAATTATAATCAATACTTTACACATGCTTTAGTATGCTAGTCAACACATCAAAACAAGTTTGATTTAAAGCATGCCAAAAGATTATTAAAACAATGATTTAAAAACTTTTAATTTGACATCACAAAAAGCACATTTGAAAAATACACTTAAATGTCATGAAAGTGTACTCTACTCTTATTTGGTGTTTTATTAATTATTACACTATGAGAAATTTCAACATTAAAATAAGTAATTTGTTATTTCAGCTTAAAGTAATTGTTCATGCTTGACTTAAAATTATAAGTTTAGTTAACTGTTGTTTAAGTTGATATAACTAATTGCTGACATTTTTTTTTACAGTGTATATATTTGCATATACAGTTTAGATTACAAGTGCACATACAAACTCATTTTTCACAAGGGTAGAATGTGATCATGCAAAAAAATGGCACTTCTGAGTCTTCACTCTAAAAACTTCTGAAGCACAAAACCATGTAAATGTTTTACTGATGCAGGCATTTTACTACTAAAAAACCTTTGTTATGTCTTAAGGCAGCTTGTTGTGAGGTTTTGACAGCAGAGCACATCTAAAATTGACCAAATCTGTCAAATATGTACATTGGCTGACCCGTTACATCTCATTTTCTCTGTACACAGTAATCCAGTCTGATTGAAGCCAAACTGAAGCGTTGTGAAGTGCTGTGAATCCATCTTGGATTGTTTTACCAGTAGAAGACAAAACCCATCAATTTCCATAAAATATATGTATGATAGTCACACACTATTTTTTTAAATAACTTCATTCTCCTAGTGCGCAGTGGGAGAGATTATTTGAGCAAAAAATATGGATAAATTTTGGCCCCTACTGCTGATTTTAATACTGACATATTTCATAAAGCTGACAGCCAAAGACTTGATCTCATGATTAAATAATCACTGGATTTTAAATCAATTCAGACTTACATTAAAGTTAATATCCCTTGCATTTTGGTACTTTACCCTAATAAAGAATACGCTCATGGAAAGGTCCCCTGGACCGATCACATTTCCTGCACTTTAAAGAGCGCCACTATTTTGATTCATGGCTTGATTTGGGCTGCAAGACAGCGTGGGTGTAAGTCTCAGATAAGTTTTGTGAATGCCTGTTGTTCTTTGACATGAACTCAATTTATATAAACATCTAAATATTTTAGTTTTTCTAGGGCTGTCACCTTAATGTGTTAATTTACTGCACTCAAAGGTGTTTTGTTTAGTTTTTTGTTTAGTTTAGTTTAGTTTAGTTTAGTTTAGTTTGTTTTTGTGTTGTGTTGTGTGTTGTGTTGTGTTGTGTTGTGTTGTGTTGTTTTGTTTTGTTTTCTGTTTTGTTTTCTGTTTTGTTTTGTTTTGTTTTGGAACAGAAGTCTGAAAATGTTTGTATTCCACCAGATATCACTGAATTAGTTGCCTAGATGTATATCACACTTGAATCTGTTTCAATCCTATAAGCTCTATGAACAGCAATCAAAAATACAAAGTGAAATGTTTAGCATTTGATAGAACTGCTCTGAGCCAATGAGCAAGAGAGACAAAAGTGAGACAGATGCTGAAGACCTACATAGCACAACGCAACATACTTGACAACGTGAACATGTAGGGGACAATAGTCTCCCTTCTGTGGGACATCACAAGATATAATTATCTACTAAAAGAGTTATGCAAATTAGGAACACGACAATCAAAAATACAAAGTGAAATGTTTAGCATTTGATAGAACTGCTCTGAGCCAATGAGCAAGAGAGACAAAAGTGAGACAGATGCTGAAGACCTACATAGCACAACGCAACATACTTGACAACGTGAACATGTAGGGGACAATAGTCTCCCTTCATTTTTTTATAAGCACTTTTCCTCTTCCTCTCGCTCACCAGCTCTAAAGAAGCCTCATTCACAGCAGACACATCTGTGGGACATCACAAGATATAATTATCTACTAAAAGAGTTATGCAAATTAGGAACACGAAGATCCGCTGGAGTGAATTCCTACTGAATTCATACAATATTTAGAATTTTTATTTTATTTAGTTTATTTTTTATTTGAAAGCCCCTAGTCACTATTTGACCATTTGCATTATATGGAAAATAGATGCATGCGCATTCATCATAACATCTTCTTTTATGTCCCTCAGAAGTAAAAAAGTCGTTCCGATTTTAAACAACATGAGGGTGAGTAAATGATTATACAGAGAATGGTGAACTTGACAACCAATTTTCATTTGTCCCTAGCTTACACTCACTGTATCTGAACCGATGCTTGAGGATGAGGATGATTTGGTGGTATATAACTTTACAAAGCACAGCACTATGTACTAATCAATGTGAAATACTGCAGAACATGCTCTTTGCCCTGGTGCCTCCAAAACGCCTGTAAACAATCACCTTCTTCATGGTCTGTCTGCTCTTTGAGTATCTCTTGGACCAGATCCAACAACCTCACCTGAAAGGAAATCAGACTGGACAGAAAAAAGAGGGGTCAGTCCATCGACACGGTATTGTTTGACTCGCTGGTAGACAGGTGGAACCTACAGCAAGTGAAAACAGATGAACATACCATGCAAACACCTTAGAAAGAATGTGTGTATGTGGACACACAAGGTGGAGACAGAGAAAGTGAACATTTTTAGACAGTAAAAACAAAAAACTACACTGTTGAGGGATACCTTCAAACTCAGGTTTTCACCAACTTGCTTGACATTTCTTGAAGGGGTCACGGCTTAGTCTCTATACGTTCTGATGACTGTCACAGACCTCCTTCAATGTAGATAGCTCTGAAACAAATGTGATAAATTAGACCTGTTAGGAACATGGTGCACCAGGTTCAACATTCCCTTCAAGGATTCATCCATCAAAATTACTCCCATTATTCCATTCAGTTGGACAGGCCTACTGTGGTTTTGCCAAGCAGGACATGTTCTTGGATTCACGTTGTTTTGGGTCCTGGAACAACATTCCTGTCAAACAGTCAGATTTGAATGTTGAGGCTTCAGCTACTTTCTTGGGTCAATGACATATAATACCATCCACGATAAATTACATGAAAAATGTAATGTAATCTCTTCAGTACACTGTGGTGGCTTAACTTTTTACAAGTACAGTGTTTTAATTTAATTGCCATTGCAGGATTATAGTATCTTGAAAAGCTCAAAAGGACACACCAGAGGTATTTTAATTTGCTCGTGTCAATGGAAAACCTATTGAATGCAATTGTGGCCACCTTTTTAAATGAGAGCAGCTGCATAGATGGAGGAACTGAGTATTGAGCCAGTGTCAATAGATCTTGTAGTCTTTCTCTTTTAGAAAATCACATCAGAGTTGACTGCTGTGAATGGTCATGATTCTCCTATTGAGCCTTTGGAAAGGGCATAGGTCTCAACTGGAGTGGCAGTCTCAAGGGTGACCTTCTCGACCTCAAGGGAAATAAGGTAATGAAGAATACTCATCTGGTCAACTGAGTAGCCTACTCTTGTTCACAGTAACAAATAGATTTAAATTGGTGATGTCAGAACAGACATGGAATGAAACTAATCAAGCGAAATTTGAAATGCAACCAATTGCGCCCCTTCCAAAAAACTTCAAACTGCTTGTGTTAAATTAATAGTTAGCTTTTATTGACTCGCGTTCCTACCATTCCAAACTGAATGGCTTTATTTTGTCTGAGAACCAAAATAATGAATATTTTGAAGAACTTCATGCAGATACAATTCATACAATAAAAATTGGTAGCAACCATAGCTGTAAAGCTCCAAATCATCACTCCAAAAATTTTTGTAGTTCTGACTCTAGAACTGCTATGATCAGTGAATTGAACTTCGAACATCTAATTTCAACTTTGATTTCTAATATATCTTTCAGTCCAGCTTAAGCAAGCAAAGCATTTATAGTGAACCAGGTGATTTGTTTACCATTTCTTGGAAATATAGCTATATAGTACTGCCACAAAAGGATTTAAACATTATTTTTTGGGATGTTGGCTCCGTATGAATATATATTCGAAAGTCTGAAATCAACTGTGCATGAATCAGCAGATTGTACAAGAAAATCAATTAAGGCATAGAAACTACCACATAGCTGACTGAAAGTCAAAATCATGTTTCAAAACACAGTTGAGATTCTATTTAACCAAGAATTCAGAACATGTGAAAGACTTTTGACATTCATAGTAAATTCAGAGATGTAGGCTAACTAAGGGTCAAGCCGTCTCATGGCTCTTGAGTCAGTTTCCATTAGCATCCATTCATCATGGGCGGGAGCGCCGACCCAGTTTGCCCTAGTGACTACCTGCCTTCTGACAGATGTTCCAGAAGCCCATTCCTGCGTGACGAATGTTGGCCTTTCTGTTGAGGTCAAAGGACAAAGCATATCAGTTACCTCTCCAGCCATTGAATGCAGATGCATGATGTGACATTATTCAATCCTTGGGACCTTGTGTGGCTCTGAGGGAGGGAGAACCGTCCCTTGTGGAATAAGTGATATACCTCAGAACCCACATTCTGTATTCATGCAGCCACCCTGTTTGACCTTAATGAAACTTCCTACACCCAAACTATCCCCCAGATAGCTACTAAAACCTGTCCCAGCGTCCCCTTGACACCTACCAAGCTCACTCACCTGTGGTTAAGAATCCAGTGCAGGATGTCGGCTGCTTCTGGTTCTCCTGAGGGACGACCAGGTCAAGACAGCATTGTACTCTGGCCTGAAGTTCACCTTGTCCAGCTGTGTATTCATTTCATTTGGAAATGCACAGACAAGACGAACAGATGAAAAGCAGATATTGTTAGATATCATATGGAATGCTTGATTCTGATCAAGCAATGTGATCATTGTGATCTGATTCAATGTAAATTGTGGCATTCTATGGACACATTTTTTGAATAATGAAACTAAACTGTATAACTGACCGTTGTTCCAAACAAAGGATCTCTCACAAAATAGATACATTTTACCATAATTTTAAAAGTATTTCATTTATTTCATTTTTCTTTCATTCATTCTGAATAAAATAACTAACATTATGTATGTTGTGAGTTTAATGTGCTATAGATCCAACGCTACCTCACGACCAATACGTACATATTTTACGAGGTGGCTAATTCGTACAACCTCACTCGTACAAATTCATATGATTTTTTTTTTTTAATCGTACGTAATTTAAGAGGTGGCTAATTCGTAGGAATTTGTGTGAAGGAGCACCCCTAACCCCGCCCCTAAACCTACCCGTCACTGGGGTATAGACAAATCGTACAAAATCGTATGAGTGAGGTCGTACGAATTAACCACCTTGTAAGATATGTACAAATTGGTCGTGATATAGCGTTGGATCTATAGCACATTAAAATCATCACAACATTCATAATGTTGGTTATTTTATTCAGAATGAATGAATGAATGAACGTTTTACGAGGTGGCTAATTCGTATGACCTAATATTATGAGTGAAGTCGTAAGAATTAGCCACCTCGTAAAATATGCACGAATTGCCTTGAGACTGGGTTGATAGATCATGATATTAGATCCATTTTTGTGTCACAACTCAAATGTAAAAGCACTTAGATGGAGATAATTTAATTTAAACCTCATTAGCCAAGATGTTGATCAAGATGCAAAGTGTGATTAATTTCTGCAATTAATGACCTGTTTCAGTGATTTGTTTGAATGTCACCTAAAATGTGTCACTGTGTGTTATTTTTCATATATTAAATGTTTCTTCCTTCAGCTCTTTTGCTAAGAATACTTTTATATTAATACTTAATTAGTATATTAATTTATTTTAATATTTGTAAGAATACGAATTATTTTTTAACTAAACTGAACAAATTTTATTTCTTGGTTTAAACGGTAAACCACAATCTTGGTTAATTTGACAACCATCACCTTAGATCAAATTCAAAAATATTGAGTTATATATTTAATACTGTGAAAAGATCAAAAAAGTATTAAGACATATATCCTTTAAAAGGATAGTTCACCCAAAAAAATGAAAATTTTGTCACGATTTACTCATTTCGTTCCAAACCTGTACGAATTTCTTTCTTATGCTGGACATAAAAGAAGATATTTTGAAGAATGCTGGTAATCAAACAGTTGATGGTCCCCATTGACTTAGTATTTCTTTCTCTACTGTGGAAGTCGATGGGGACCAACAACTGTTTGGTTCTTCAAAATTCTTCAAAGTATCTTCTTTTGTGCTCAACATGTTCATGAACTGTTCCTTTAATGCAAAGTAATAGAATGCATACAAGTATTCTCAGACCTGGCAAAACCGTTTTCTACCGTTTTCTACTGTACTGAATAATCAGTAGCATGTTATTTCAGATTGTTATGCTTTTCGTGGAAAGCATGACATTTTATTATTTCAGATTGTCATGCAAGGCTCTATGATGCTAATTTTACAAGTAGCTGCTGAGCAGAGCAAATTCTGCCTCTGGACAATGTTGCCAGATGCTCTGCTCTGCCTATTTTAGACTTATTTTCCACTCTCTGAGTCATTATGGTTTCAGTTTCCTCTATCATTATTCAATAAACACTCCCTGAAGAAAATCGGACTATAAGAAGTCAGCGCTTCAGGAAGTGACTCTCACTGAACGCACTCTAACGTTTAACTAATCATATAATAGCCTCATCTGAAAATTGAATTGTATTACAGCTATAAATTTCCTCCACCCTAGACCCGCTAAGATTGCACAATCAATAACAATGCACTTAAATTGTGACTATGTTTTTACAAGGAAGAATAGGGCGGCATGCATTATTCCTTTGCATACTGGGTAAATTAACGTGGGACAACGGAAGTGACTCTCACTGAACGCACTCTAACGTTTAACTAATCATATGATAGCCTCATCTGAAAATTTAATTGTATTACAGCTTCCTCCACCCTAGACCCGCTAAGATTGCACAATCAATAACAATGCACTTAAATTGTGACTATGTTTTTACAAGGAAGAATAGGGCGGCATGCATTATTCCTTTGCATACTGGGTAAATTAACGTGGGACAATGCCACATTTCTCTTATTAGTCTGGTTGGCTGGAATGAAAGAGTATTGGCTAAACATTCGGCGAGCTGTTATGAATCCGCCCTGTCCAAACATCCTGCTGTTTTATATGCTTCCTGGGGCCAGAGGTCATTGCAGACAGGCATGACCAATCATCATGTAAATCTGGATCTGAGTGGGGCCTGTCATCCACACAGTGCAATTCAATTACGTTTAATTTACTGAAGAAGGATGCATGTTGACTTCAGCTGATGAATTGAATTTTTATGGACAAGGTTAACAACACACTTTCCAGATTTGAAAAAACAAAACTGCAAAATACATTCCAGCACCAGTATAAGCTTGTATTTGTTTAAATAAATAAGTATATATTATAAATGAATCTTGATTTAATATGTACACAATTGCAAAATTTAGCTTATACTGTGTCCTAACAATCAAAGATAAATATGCATTATTAGGAGTACAATTAGTAATTTTAACAAACCCCTAACCCTAAATATCAAACACTGGAGAATAGCTCACACATTAATCATTCTGTAAAGTTTGTGATATAGACATGAATGATGATACCTCAAATTATATATATTTATTGAAGAGATTCATGGTGTAACATTTCTAATCAATCAGACTTGTACATTTTTCTGAACAACAATAAAATGAGCAAAAACAAAATCTCCTAGACTTACATTAAAAGAGAAGCCTGATATGTGAAATAATAGTTCATACTCCTTGAATAAAAAACACTACAATTTTATTGAGACCCAAACTAAACAAAAATATGGAATTTGCTGATATTTACCGGTATATTGCCGAAACGTAAGATGAAATTCTGATACCTTATGTCATTCAATTAAATCTTAGTATAGCGGACTACTTACATAAAATGTGTGTAAATATTTTAAATTAATGTCTAAGATTATGTTTAAATCAGATGACAGAAGGCATGCATTTTGATGTTGATCATTTAGAGACCTTAGAAAATTGTTTATCAAATATGATAGTGCAGGCTTCATAAAGGTTTAATATGTCTGCACACTTTCCATACTTAATGCATGCCAAGAGTGAGTTCATATTTATGAAATACATGGGGGGAGAAACTTTTTACAGCTTGTATTTTGAATTTCACAGTTATTTCATGCACAAGATGCTTAACATGAACCATTCCACTATGTATCACAGCTCAGGACAGTTCAAAAACAATTAATACAGAGCCTGAATGGATTCCAGGAAAGGAAATTTATTATACAATTTTGTATGCATATTTTATGCATCCAAAATAATGCATACGTATAGATACAAGTAGTAGTAATTTCCCACTCCTGCTGATAGTGTTCTGTAATCAAATACTTTGGAACGCAGTGAACACAGATAAGTGAACTGATACTGATTTTTGGGATGGAAACTGATTTGGATGTTCAGAACCTGGCTAATAAAGATTGATTGCATGGTGAACATTTTATACTTTGAATGCAAGTAAATATCATTTGTAATTCCAGATATTCACTAAAGTACCACCTTTTAAGAGTTCCAGGTAAGACCTGGTTAGATAAGACTGCAGCCAGCAGATGGACTAGATCATGTATCCATTTACATGAGGCTTTGGTTCTTTACTGGAAAACCTCATTGTGCCATTTCCTCATTTGCTGATGAAAGGTTCAAACAGTGTCCGAGGCCACTTTGAGAATCCCGGGAAATGGGTTCATTACGGCAAAACAGGCTGGCCAATCAACCAACACGATTACAAACATATGTGACCAGTCCAAACCTGAGCTGAAAAAAGTGGTATTATCTATGGACATGGATATGGAATTTCCAGAATCCCACACTCAGTCCACGTTTAATCTTGAATGTAGTTCCCCCAAATATATTCACAACCATGCCTTTTTGCATATTCAGGTGTACACTGCTGCAATTGATTATGATACAGGAGAACCAATGATGCTTCCCATTATTGCTATGGTGTGCATGTCTTAATGCACCACATTTGAATGCCTATAGAAACAAAACAGGGAATAAATAATAACAGAATAGTAAGTTTTGGTCAACTATACCGCGTCAAATGTGTTCAATCCTTAAAGCTAATTTGTTAAAGGCGCATAATTACGTCTCCAAGACATTTACCAGTTTTAATTACTTAAAAGGTTCTGAGATATATAACTGTCGCTGGTGTTGAGTTGCTCATGAAAAGAGGAAATTGCATCGTTCATCAGGACAAAAGAAGAAAATCTTTCACTCTTTCTCTTAGTCTATACATGCGTATACCATATTCATTTGTTTACATACTTGATGTTTAAAACATTGTTCAGATATACTTGATATACTTGTACATTATATTTAATACACTTAATGTGAGAAGGACAATGAAATATTAATTTGACATTTAGCTTTGGTTAGTTAACTCAAATAATTTGTTTAATGCATAATTTCTCAGAATAGTAAGTTTTGGTCAACTATACCGCGTCAAATGTGTTCAATCCTTAAAGCTAATTTGTTAAAGGCGCATAATTACGTCTCCAAGACATTTACCAGTTTTAATTACTTAAAAGGTTCTGAGATATATAACTGTCGCTGGTGTTGAGTTGCTCATGAAAAGAGGAAATTGCATCGTTCATCAGGACAAAAGAAGAAAATCTTTCACTCTTTCTCTTAGTCTATACATGCGTATACCATATTCATTTGTTTACATACTTGATGTTTCAAACATTGTTCAGATATACTTGATATACTTGTACATTATATTTAATACACTTAATGTGAGAAGGACAATGAAATATTTAGCTTTGGTTAGTTAACTCAAATAATTTGTTTAATGCATAATTTCTTTTTTTTCACAAAAATTAGTTGATTGATGATTGCCATTAGCATGCATTCAAACAAATCAAATTTGTTTGAAATCAAACATCGATGACAGCAACAGACCCCTGATTTATAATATTTTCGATATAGCATTACATGAAACATGTTTTTCTTAAGGGAACATCAGTTAGTAATAGTCTAAAACTAGTAATATCAGTAATATTCTCATTACTATGTAACTTGAAGTTCACCTGTGCATTCACTGTATTGTCTGTGCAAATGTAGGTTGTAATATTATGTTTATTTTTCTGAATATAGCTAACTGATGTCATCTAGGAAACATTTGAGTCAGCAAATTAACTATAAAAGTGGTTCAGTTTACTAGTTCATTGTTTGCAGCTCAAGCAAATCAGTCTTCAGCTATTTTTAACTTGGATTATTTCAACTCTTCCTTCTGTTTTCCCCCTGTAGTTTTCCTCTAAAAAAACATTGTTAATGCATTATTAATCCTGCAGGATGTATTTAATCAAAATCATTTAATTATCATCATAATGCATATATTTTGTCTTCATTATCGTCGATGAAATCACAAAATCCCTCGTCAGCAAACATTTTGGTCAGTAATTTTCTTGACAGGATTACCACTGAACGGCTCATTATCCAACAGACCATGTTAACATAATGCTGTTTTAGCATCTGGTGCATTTGTCAGCTGTTGTCTACAGTATGATCTCTCTCATCTAACCATGATTAAATTCATTAAGACTGTGATTTGCTGCTCTGCTTGACTGAACCACACACACACTTAGGCTACCAGCATATATCATACAAAAATGCATCAGCTTTTGTTCTCCATATGCAGATTGACCCATCAACACATGCACAACAGATCATATAATTAGTCTTTTACAGCATCTTGCTGACTTACGACGCCCTTAATGTACATGGCAGCATGTTAATGGATATTGACTCTACAGATGCACTTTCATATGATTTATACAGCTATCAGTCGAAAATAATGCTTGTAATTCTGGCTGGTTATATGCACATGTGAGACATACGACACATTAAGGTCTGTTTTTTAGCAGCTTGGGAATATCCTTTGAATCCACAAGACTTCAAACTGCAGATTTTAAAGATTGGCGATGGGATGTCAATTAGAGATGAGATCATTGTATGCGTATCCATTGATCATATTGTAAATCAGTGGAGGCACTTGACGTGGGTGTTCAGTGGCATGCTGGGTAAGCACGGTTGTGCTCTGCAGCCTATAGAGCCAGCAGGGCTCCCTGGGGTCCAATCCAATCTTTCACAACCAGTTTAGCACTAAATACATAATGGCACAGCCTGTGGTGACCTGCCACTCTTAAGCTGTTTATGTGGTATGTTTGGGTTTTGCCTACCCTTGCAGTGAATAGAAATATATATAATAAATGTTAATTAAAAATATATGTAGATTTCATTCATTTCTACAGAGGCCCGCACATGATGTGGCGGGAAAAAAAACACAAATTCATGGTGATAGAATTCAGTCAAAGCACATTAGTTCAATCATGGCCACTATTTAAATAAAATGAGGGAATGAATAAGCTAAATTATTTAACTAATTGGTGTAACATGGAGACAATTTAACTAAAATGAGGAAATATGTGTATATTCCTAAATATAAGATATATGTATATAGGAAATATATGTATATTCCGACATGTCATGATCAGTCAGAGAGCAATTTTGATCTTATATATAGCAGTGTGGCTGTATTTTGCAGTTGTGATTTTGCTTCTCTTTTTTTTTTGCTTATCTTTATAACTCACAATGTGACCATATCTCGCAGTTACAACTTTATATATCGCAATGTGACAGTGTCTTCCAGTTTCTACTTCATTTCTCATAATTGCGACTTTATAACTCACAAAGTGAATTTTACAGTTGTGGCTTTATTTCACACAATTGACCCTTCACAAAGACCCCCCTCCCTTCATTAGTGTTGCTATGTCTGACAGTTATATCACAAAATAAACATGAATGAACATCGCAAGGTGTCTTATTTCAACTGTAGAAAGACGTCAATACACACTGTTTTTCAAGTTCAAGAACGTTTATCTACTCTCCTGTCTGGTTTGTTTGTTGAGCAAAAATGGCAGATTTGGCGTTATGATGGGTCAGATCGCCTGTCAATCAAACTCCCTGCGAATGGTCTATCCATCTATTTTCCAAACAGCTTTTTCTAGGTAAGATAGCAGGGATGCTGAAGTCTATCCTTTTGGGTCATAAACAGCGAAACACTCTAGACCCTGGATTTTAAACTTTGTCTCACAATTAGTTTTTTATTATTATTATTCTGAGGTGGAAACATACTTCCATACACAGCTGCTGTTTATGTAGAGTGTTCCAAAATTAGTCACTTATTTGTATTCATTTAGATGTATGTCTGTTAATATGCTAGCCACTCTATATCGGTTTTTCACACCCCTGAAGAAACTTCCTGTTTCTTTTTCCTTTTTTCTCACTCTGCATACACACATTCTTGGACACGATTTCTAAATCAAACTCTCTTCTGTAACACCATCCCCTGAGACTTCCTCTATAATGTTCTCGTTCCGCTATGTGTGTTTATATGGGCACACAATGCACATTTAATGTAAGACATGGTGGTCAGACAAACAAGAAAAGAAATAGAGCCTATTGACTATTGGCTGGTGAGTAATTTAATGATTAATTATAATGTAAACAAAGCAAAGATTATAATGGAAATCAGCCAACCTTTCAACACAGAGGGCATTCAGTCATAACCGAGTGGCCACGTGCCACCCTCTGTGCATGAATCACTGATGAACTACTCACATTTTAATGGAAAGTTACCATTGCCAGAGAGGATTCACAAAGTAGATTTCCCTCTTTACAGCCTTAAAGAATAGTTCACCCAAAAATCACCATTTGTTCCAAACCGTATTATTTGCTTCCTTCTGTGGAAAACTAGGTATATTTAGCAAAATCCTCAACAAGGGACTGTCAAGCTCCAAAAAACACTGTAAAACTAGCCCATACAACTTTATGCACTATATTTGAAGTCTTACGAAGCCATATGTTAGCTTTATGTGAGTAAAAAGACCAGAATTTAAGTCATTCACAAAATCCTGGCTTGCACTAGGGCTCTCAAATTTAATTTGTGCTTTTTTTGCATATTCAAATGGGGTGCATTGATACAAGATACATGAAAACTAATAATACTTAACTGACGTCGAATCTTGTGCATTGTGTCTATATACAAGTCTGAATATGTTCAAGTACAAATTCAATTTTAGAGCTAGAGCAGAAAGAACAGTTTTCGGTGAATAATGCCACTATTGTATGATTTGAAATATAGTTCAAATGTCATATACTGCTTTCATGGTGATTTTATGTTGCTTTTTGTAGCTTGACCACAGGTCACAATCCACTTTCATTGTACGGAAAAGAGCAGTGTGAACATTCTGCTAAATATCTAAATAACAAAAAAATGTACTGGTTTTAAACAATATAAAGGTGAATTTTCATTATTTAACCCTTTAACCCTTATATGAGGTTGCAGTGTGTGAGTAGTGCTGTATGAAGTATTATATTATTTATATATTGTGTGATAGTGTGATTTTTGGTGAATTGTATTGAATCCAATTAGGGTCAATTTGACCCCCATCATAACAATCCTACCCAGATTTTTGACCAAATGGCACAAATAGGTAATACAGAAGCTGTTTTTTTTTTCTTCTTCTTCTTCTTCTTCTTCACATGGAGTCAAAATATCTGCAGATTCTTGTTTTTTCAGATTCAGTTTTTTCAGATCTGCAGATTCTTGTTTGTTTTGATCTAACATTTTCAATTATTTAACACTAGTACACAACGTACTATATTCTGGATATGTGTTGCAGGCAGTGATTTGGCACAGTGGTCATCTTTGCCGCTCTGTTAATTGTTTGTGATGTCTGCTCAACCCTAGACCTTAGTGATTGTGGGTCTGAGGACCTTTTTTGTCTGCTGCTTAACTTATTTAATCAACAGGCCAAGGGTTTACAACAACAACTATTTCACTGAGTCAACCAAGACTCACCCAAGACCTCACTTTACAGGCCTCAGGCACGGCACACTCACAGACGCACACACACGTGGTACTTGGTAGTCATCTGGAACGCATTGCAGTTACTTCATTCTTGACATATTTTTTCTTGTGCTTCCCGGCCCCATGCTCCTGTTGTCATTGTATAAGTGATGCACCACTCACTGAGCTCAAGATGGAAAAAACAATCACGCCGCAACATTAGCACTGATAACAGTAGTGTCAGCAGAGGAGTTATTACTGAGAGAGCAGCATGCTGCATCGCTGCACATCTGGACCTCTGCCATAGCCACACACTGCCCCTATCTGTCAGAAAAGTTAACGCTCCGGTCTGTAAACCATTAACTATGAACTTTAAAATTCCAGAGCCAGACGTTTGACTGTAGGCAAAGTCTGTTTTACTTTACAGCTTCGTCTGGCCTTAACCTGCCTTTTTAGATGATCAATGACAAATAAGAGTGTCCACAATGAAGAGGGAAATTCTTTCAAAAGCTATATTAAAACACGTTTTTTCTTAGAAATGCACACTTTGCTTTCGTGTTAGTGTCAGATGGTTTTGAGAGTTTTTTGTTTTTGCCATTTAAAAAAAAATAATTCAAATTTTTACTATATAGATGTCATGTGGTGTAACCATGAAATAAAAAATAACACATTTTCTTTACAGATCGAATACAACTGAGTTTGCACATCTTAATATTTAAAAATAAAAAGGTTTTTGATATATTTTTCATGGTAAAAATTCCCACCTGTGGGACGTTTGGCGCTCTTTTTTTGTTGTTGTCTTTTTTCTCTATCAAATCTTTTAGTAATCATCATAAATCATATATCATTTGAAAGCTTAGAAGCCCAAAATTCATCCTGTGAAAACCATTTCGACATTGCGTTACCATGGAAATGGTACTTTAAAATCTTTTGGCGGTCTCCTCCCCCTTAGTGGGCAGTGTCAAGTGTCATATTACAAAATGAATTACGGTCTTTTAGAATCAAAACTTTTTATAATCTTGAAAAAAAACATATCATTGGAAAGGTCTGAGTCGCAGGATTCCATATTTGGTGGTTATTTTGAGATAGAAGTAATATTGACAGAGAAATGCATTTAAAAAAATTAAATGGACTTTGGATGGCACCCGGTGGCTGTTTGTGGTATAACGCCCTAAATAAAATCTCACAGGAACCTCAATATTTTTCATATCAACTTCAAATTTGGAACATAACTTATT